AAATCAAAATGGCATTTTTCAAAGAAATAGAAAAAAAAATCATCAAATTTGTATAGAACCACAAAAAACGTCAAATAGCCAAAGCAGCCCTGAGGGAAAAAAAACAGGCAGAGGTATCACATGCCCTGACTTCGAATTATACTACAAAGCTACAATAATCAAAACAGTGTGGCACTGGCAGAAAAACAGATGCACAGATTAATGGAACAGGATTGAGAGCCCAGAAATAAACCCACATGTATATGGGCAACAAAGGAGCCAAAAATATACAATGGAGAAATGAGAGCCTCTTCAATAAATGGTGCTGGGAAAATTGGAAGTCCACATGCAGAAGAATGAAACTAAAGTGCTATTTGACACCGTATGTACACAAAAATTAACTCAAAATGGAGTAAAGACTTAACTAAAAGATCTGAAACAATAAAATACCTAGAAGAAAACACTAAGCTAATGGACCTTGGTCTCAGAGAATTTTATGAATATCAACCCCAAAGGCAAGGGAAGTCAAAGTAAAAATAAATGAATGGGACTATATCAAACTAAAAAGCTTCTGCACAGCAAAAGAAACCAACACAAAAACTCAACCAACCGAATGGGAGAAGATATTTGCAAACAATACCTACGGTAAGGGGCTCATATCCAAAACATACAAAGAACTCATACAACTCAACAACAAAATCATTCGATTAAAAAATAGAGGACCTGACAGACACTGTTCCCAAGAAGACATACAAATGGCCAACAGATATATGAAAAGATGCTCAACTCAACCAGCTGTAAGGGAAATGCACATCAAAACCACAGTGAGATACGACCTCACACCCGTTTGAATAGCCACTTTTAGCGAGACAAACAAGTGTTGAAAAGGCTGTGGAGAAAAACCATCATGCACTGTTGGTGGGAATATAAATTGGTACAGCCACTATGGAAAAGAGTATGGAGGCGCCGCAAAAACATTAGGAATAGAGCTACCATATGACCCAGCAAGCCCTCTTCTGGGTATCCGCCCCAAAACTTTGAAAACATTTATTTGTAAAGATTACATATATATATATATATATTCACACACACGTACACACCCCTGTGTTCATTGCAGCATTACACACGCTGGCCAGAACAACCTAGGTGTCCTTCGATGGGTGATTCGATACAGATGTGGTACATATATACAGTGGGTACTGCTCAGCCGTGGTACACGTGAGAGCACCACGCTAAGCAAAGTAAGTCAGATGGAAAGGGGCAAGAACCACATGATTTCACCCACAGGTGGGCTATAAAACAAATAAACAAAAGCACTTACAGACACAGACAACAGAAGAGTAGTAACCAGAGGGGAAGGGAGGTGGGGGGGGTAAAGGAAGGAGGTCAAATGTACAGTGACGGAGGGCAAGTAGACTCCAGGTAGCGAGCGCACAGTGCGGTATATAGACGATAGAGGATTGCACACTCGAAACGTAATGTTCTTAACCAATGTCACCCAATACATTTAATTTTTTTAAAAATGTATATATACCATGGAATATTAGTCAACTATAGATAAGAAGGAAATACAATTGTGACAACATGGATGGACACTGACGGCATTGTGCTAAGTGAAATAAGCCAGAGAAAGACACACTGCACCATCTCATACATAGAATCTTAAAAACACCGCCACCACCAAGCTCACAGAAACAGTAAACATTGGTGGTCGCTAGAGGTGGGGAGTGGGTGGGATGAGTGAAGGGGGTCGGAAGGTACAAACTTCAGGTTTAAAGATTAATAAATTCTGGGACTGTGATTCCATTGTGGTGATTATAGTTAACAGTACTGTACTGTATATTTGAATGTTGTTAAGACAGTAGATCTTAAAAGTCCTCCTCACAACAAAAACATTGTAACAGTGAGGTGATGGATGTTAACTTATTGTGTGATCATTTCACAATATATACATGTATCCAACCATCATGTTGTACATCTTAAGCTAATACAATGTTTATGTCAATTCTATCTTAATAAAATTGGGAGAAAAAATTCAATGTATAAGATCAGTAGATTATGTTTAAAAGTTTCTCTATTATTACATAGGTGTAATTCTTGACTTATATGGAATTGCCCATATTGCTAAAATTACAACTCTTTTCTCTGAAATATGTTTAAAATTTAATGTAGTGCATTCCCTTAAAATATGATTTGTAAAGAATTTGAAAAGAAAGCCACAAGGTAAACCAGTTAGAAAAAAAACTTCATGTACTCTGAAATGTGTAAGCAGCTTTTTAGGAAATGTATTGTTTTAAAGAAAAAAAATCATAAAATTACAATGAGATCATTGTCACCCCCCAAAATTTTATGTGGTCAGTTGTGTATTAAATTTGTTTTCAGATTAATTATGCATCAAATAAATTATTAAAATGGAAAGCATCAATATTTAATTTTACTAAGAAAAATTTGACCCTAAAGAATCTGTTCTTCACATGGAATCTAAAAATCTGTAGTTAAAAACCAGCAGGTGTCACTGTGATAACAGATGTGATTTTTTCCCCTTTAAGCAGTTCCATGTGGATGGCTACATAATTTAATCCATGAACAAAGGTGTATAAGAGACAGTGAATTTAAGTTGCATCACTGAACAAAAATACCAAAATGTAGAAAAACATATATAGTGTCCTGGAGGGTTAGGAGTACTTTTGAGGACTGTATTCTTTCCTAACTTCCTTCACATTTCAAGGTTTTATTAACAGTAAAAGTATAGTAGGATCCCCCGGTGATGTTTTGGACTTTATGTTGAAGTAGAGAGTAGTGGGCTCACTAGGTTACAACTCATGTAACCAAAATTAAACTAAGAAACAATATTCCCAGTAAAGTTTTAAAATGGATTTTGAAAAACTTTCAGTTCTTTCCTTCAAATTTAGAGTTAGAATTGATAAATTAATCTTTAGAGATAAAAATATGGTACTTGGTAGAATATAATAATAGGAATTAAAGAGCTAGTTGTCAGGGTATTTTTCCCCCACCTAGTCTGGAAGCCAAAGTAGAACTTAATTCACTGGAACATTGTGCTGTGTCTGGATTCTGTTCTGAGAGAAACATAGTCAATGATAGCACTCCATCTTAAAGGAACTTATAATTGAGTTGTGCACATGTTATAATAAAAAAACCAAGACCATGATATTAAATAAGATATTAAAAGCCATGATATACAAAGAAAGCAGGTTATGATGATGTGACTTCCAGGAGGAACTGTCTTTATTATAAAAGAATTATTCATAATACAAATAAAATTTTGATTAAGATTTAGAGAATGAAAAAAGATGGCAGAATACCCAATTCAGTTTAGTACAATAAGCATTTTTTTAATGTTTTCTTTATTGATTTTAGAGGAAGGAGGAAACATTGATTTTTGTTGTTCCACCCATCCATGCATTCCTTGGTTGATTTTTGTATGTGCCCTGACTGGGGATCCAACCCAAAACCTTGGTGTATTGGGGCGACCCTCTGACCAACTGAGCCACCCAGCAAGGGCTTCAGTTTAGTTCAGTAAGCATTTATGGAGCACCTGTGTTCCCCCCACTCTATATTCCTGGACAGATACTACGAATACCAAAAAAGTAAATAAAGCTTTCTCTCTGCCCTTGTTTATCAAAAATACAGATGGAAATACTGGCAAACTCAAGTGATAATTAATAGGCTTCTTTGATGTTGAAGACAGTGGTAGATAAGACTGGACATTGTAACATGCTCTGGTTTGAGAGTCAAAAGACCTGTGTTTTAGTCATGCCTCTGTCACTAAATTTATACGGGAACTTGAACACATCACTCAGACAATTTTCACACCATTTCCAACTTTAATAATCTGTGATTTTCTGAAGGTAATGAGACTATTAGAGTAAGTGGCATGATGGAAATGTTACAGGAAGGTTACTCCATAGATTCAGATGTATGATTGATAGAGGAAATTACTGCTCTGCGCATGGATTTTTGAGAATGTAGCTGAAAATAGCAATTCCTAGTCTAGACAGAGCAGGGATAGAGATGAAGCTCTTAGTTTGGAATTTAAGATAGTGGCAATTTTTAACATCCATATATAGATATGTCTATGTACTGTTTACTTACGACAATTACTAGCAAAGCTGCAGATTTAGGTAATCACTCTATTGCCTTTTTATATANTGGCAATTTTTAACATCCATATATAGATATGTCTATGTACTGTTTACTTATGACAATTACTAGCACAGCTGCAGATTTAGGTAATCACTATTGCCTTTTTATATATATGTATATTCATAACTGTTACCCCAAGAGACTGAATTTTTTCTTTGAGAACACCAAGCTCTGTAAATTAGGCAAATTAAAAAGATATTAAGATACCAAAAAGATATCCTTGTCTAGATAAATATTCTGTTTTTATATAATTAGAAAATTCTATGGGCTTTTATTAAGCAGCTGCCCCTGTTTAAGGAGTTCCCATTTCCTTTCCCAGAAGACAAAATTGTCCAAGCACAAAGAATGTGCTTTATGCTGTTTTATATCCCATGCTTAGAACGTGTGCTCTGTCTCTAAAAAGGAAAGTCCTCTCCCTATGGTAGGGCCAGTCCTGGGCTTGAATAGGGAAGGTTTGAATTGCCCCTCTGTGTTTGTGTTGCAGTGAGCGAATGTGAAGGTAAGTGCTAGACGGATGTGTTTCATTCTTGGTCAACACCAGCAGGTTTCTCGTCACAGATCATCACCTGATCTGTGATATTTGCTAGTTGTCTCGGGAAAGCTTTTAAGGTAAACTGTATATGGTGAAAGTAGAAACTTGAAGCCATCTTTTTGAAAAAAACAATTATTCCCAATTAACACTTTCTTTTTCCTTAAAAAATTTAGGTTATCTGTTTAGAACTTGCAAGCAACCCCCAGATGGAAACAGTGCTGGCCGTAGGATCAGGCTCTTACCCGACAGGACCGTAGCGCCTCGGCTGTCACGGCGCCGGGAGGGAGAGGCCAGGAGCGTGTGACGCTCTGAGCTGTCATCAGCCACTGCGCGTAATGATCTCTTTTTGAGATGTGTACCCAGAGGTTCAACTTGTGGGACCTGGACTGTACCCTCTGCAGTCACGTTGCCAGGTAGGAACAGGGGAAGCAGAACCGCTTAGCTCTGAAGGGAGGCTTCTACAGTTTAGGCCGAATCCTCGGTCCCCAGGCTCTTTCCCTCTCTGCTGTTACGTTGACTGTCTCAAAGCAAAGTTCATCTTACTTGCAAATGAAATCTCACAGTTTCTCTCTTTTCTGGTGCTGAAGAGATTTTCAAGTTTTTAATATGATTTGTTGAGAATAAAAAGTAGGTGAGAGAAGAAAAGCAACTCCCCCCCTCCAGAGACATGTTTTTAAATGTACTTAGGTGATAATGATAGTTCTTGAAACCCATCACTGGGTGAAGGTACCCCTCTTCACAGAATCACTGGGCTTCCCTGACGTTGTCCTTGGTTCTCCAAGTGGGGGATATTCTGTGAGGGGAATGGCTGGCTGTGAGGTTGCTGCCTACAGGCTTACCCTGGGCCTGGAGGAATGGCAGGCGGGAGTGGAAAGCAGCCTCCGAGGGTTTATTTCGTTTCTTTCCCCCTTCCCTCTTGCTCAGGCTAGTCCTGCCATCGCAGCCCTGGGCCCCCATGAAGTGAGCCCTGGAGATGCCAGGCTGCAGTGGTGTCTGCAGTGATGAGCGTAGCAAACCACCTTCCCCATGAATCTGCTATATGTGCATATGTGTATTTCTTGTTACCGGTCTTGAGTTTATTGTCTTATAATCTCATGTAGGTATTTTATTAAAGGCACAGAGTAGGCCGTATGTGAGGCCTGGAACGTGTGGACATTGCTCTGTATTAATCACCTGAGAAAGTGGTGATTCTCAGAGAGGACCAAGGGGGTGTGATGTGAGAACCTCTCTCCTCTCTCCTCCCCCCCTCCCTTTCTCATGGGGACTTTTGGGAGTCCAGGAACACTTGATAGCATCCCCAGTGGGCCGGGGTCACAGATAACCTCTGCCACATGGAGGGAGTCAGGGAGTCGTCTTGGCAGGAGATCCTGAACCAAAGGTGAGTGAGTTACGCTTTATAAACCAGATCATCTAGTTGTGCTTTATTTTGTGGCTGTTTCTACAATGTAACCCCCCGGTCCTCAGTGAAACCTTTGTTCAAATGCTCCAACATCATCTCAGCCATGCGGCAGGAATGAAGGAAGGAGCCATCCATGTGTTTCCATTTTTTCAGAAGGATGAAAAGATAAAAATGTAGAGATTATGCAAAACCATTAACTTACAGGACAAATGTGTTAGAACTGCCAGCGAAACCCAAGACACCCTCCCTGGGCTCCACATTTACCCTTTAGCTGCAGTTCTGTTTATAGCCCAGTGCCCGGGAGAGCTACGGCTATTCCTGTTGTCTCCACTCACCTTCCCCGCATCTCCCCTGAGCCCTGTCCCGCCGCCTTTCAGCGCCGCTCCGCTGAGACCCGCGGTCAGAGGCACCCGCACCCTCCACAGGGCCCAATCCACTGACGGGTCCCGAGTTCATATTAGTCTGTCTCAGCAGGTGACTCCCTCCTTCTAGAAATACTTTCTCCATAGGACGTTCTGATTGCTGCACAGTCCTGGTTTGCCTTCTGGCTCTCCGGGGACTCCTCTTCTTTCCGGCCTCTAATTTGATGTGCTTCAGGGTCAGACCTCACCTCTTCTCTCCCTGCCTCAGTCCCCCGCTCAGTGTGCAGCGCCACTGCTTCTCCAGTGGCCTGGGTCAGGATCGAGGCACCCTGCGCGACACGCACAGCCACGCGGCTGCCCGTTAGCCAGGCTGGCTCTGCCTCTGTGCTCTGTCCCCAGCCTAACTACTGCTGCGACTCCAGCTGAAGCCACTGTCATTCCGTTACCTACGTTACTGCTTAACCGGCCTCCTTGCTTTCATTCTTGACGTGCCCCTGATCCATTTTCCATGCAGCAGCCGTGTGTCTTTCAGGAAGCACGGCCCAGAGCGTGTCATTCACCTGCTTAAAGCCGTCTAATGCCTTCCTCTCCCACTCAGTAAAACCCGTACTCCTTGGCATGGCTGGTCCTCCAACATACCCAGGCCCCTTCCCACCCGGAGCCTCTGCCTGACCTGCTCTTCCCCCAGCTCCTACCAAGACTCCTCCGGCACTTTCTTTACTCTCTGTTCAAATGTCACCTCCGGGAGGCCTTCCCTGACCACTCAGGCTAAATAGCACCCTCACGTTGGTATCTGATGTCTCCCCAGCTAGAATGTAAACTCCCTGAGGGAAGGAGCCTTGTCTGTCTTACCCATTCTGTATTCCTGATGCCTGGTGTGTGAGAGTTATTGATTGGATGGATGGATGGATGGATGGATGGATGGATGGATGGATGGATGGATGGATGGACGGACAGATGATATACTGTAGTCTAGCACTCTTCACCTGGATTTTGTCACACGTGATTTTTAAAAATTGTAATGTGAAAAATGGAGGTATTTCTAAATAGCTTAATTCTACATTTGGTGGTGGATTTTAAAAGCATTTAAAGCCCTGGCTGGTGTTTCTCAGTGGTTAGAGTGCCAGCCCTTGCACCAAAGGGTCACAGGTTTGATTCCTGGTCGTACCTGGGTTGCAGGTTCAATCCCGGCCCTGGTCGGGGTGAGTGGGGGAGGCACCAATCAGTGTGTCTCTTTCACATAGACGTTTCTCTCTCTCTCCCCCCACTCCTCCCTCCCTTCCACTCGCTCTAAAAATCAATGGAAAAAATATCCTCAGTGAAGATTAAAAACAACAAAAATTTTTTAAATAAAATAAAAATTATTTAAAGGTAATACATCGTTAAATTTTTGAATGACAATGCTAGGCATAGATAGCCCATAGAAATGGTTTCCACTTTGTTGAAGTATCATATAGTAACAGAGCATACTCTTCAGGGAACGATAAAACCTCTCTAAAGCAACTGTAGGAAACTAATGTTAAATCATAATAGAGACTCTAACTAGAAAATTCTTGGAACATTTCATTTTCTTGATAAACTATCCAAATAATAAGCTCTAATAGGAGGAGATGTGACCGTTGTATCCTCACTGAATCAGAAATATCTGAGAACCGTGAAAAATGGGGTAGCTCGGGGGGTAAGAGTGTCCATGGGGAGTTCAAATTCTGCCTCTTCTGCCTATAAACTAGATGACCATGGGCAAGTTACTTAACCTTTCTGTGCCTTGGTTTCCTCATCTGTAAAGTGGGGGTGGTAAAAGTGCCAAACTTTACCTTATAAGTTTGTTTTGAGGATTAAATGAGTTAACTTATGTAATATATTAAAACATAGCCTGATATATAAGTGCTATATTTAATGTTTGCTTTTAGGACAATTTTATCACCATCACCATTGATTCTATGTGTCCATTTAGGAATTGACTCTTTATAAGCCATCCATAAAAAGGTTGACAGGTCATGACCATAAGTAATTTAAACTTCTTGAAATGAAGTCCACGGCAGTTCCCCTTGGAGCACTTAGCTGGATTAAACTGCTTTCTATGATCTTAAAATACATATTAAAGCCAAGGAAAGACTAGTTTTGTAAATCCTTAGATGGCACACCCATCCAGCTGGTACCACAAATGATGTCACGTTTCAGGAAGATCAGCTAATATATTCCATGGAACCAAAGGGACTTCTCAGGATAAAATGTGTCTTACTTCTAGTTCCCAGGCTGGTCTTTGATTCAGACCCAAAGTAGAGGAAAAATCTAGCTTCTCAAACAGGTCTCTGCTGAACCCAATTTAAAAATTTACTGAAGTTATTTATTACCACATTTAGTAATTTTGGTGAAATTTCTCATTTCTCAAAACAAGTTTTGCTTACACCCTTTCAAAAGAATGTTGTTGGTATGTGGGTAGGTTGTCTGGAGCCAGCCTCTTATCTGGAGACCAGATTCAAAAAGTCTGAGTTCAGCGAAGTGACTTGGACTGCGTGCTTCTGTTTTGTTTTGTTTAATAAGCATGTACGGGCCTCGCTAAAACACAGTGCTACCCCCATCTAGGAACAATGCCACGCATGTCATTTCCTGAAATAATGGAGTTGGAAGGCAATTATCTACTCACGAAACAGGCTGAAACAACAGTTCCTGATATTCCTCTCAAATACTTTAACTTCCCAAGGAATCCGGAAAAAATAATTCCATGAGACAGTGCTGTGAATGAAGGTATGTCATTTCAGTTTCCGTCACTGGAGTCCAGTAACCAGCAGCAGTGAATTAATTGCTCCCACTCGCGTTCCTGAGAGGGGCTCTGGCCGGGGGAGTTGTTTGTCCCTGCCTCGGGAGCACCGTCCTGCCTTCTAGCCTCTGGTGACATGATGACCTTGAGTTCCTTTGGGTTCACTTTGGGGAACCATTCCAGAGCTTACCTGCAGCTTCTGGAACTGTACTTATTTATGAAATTGCTCTCCTTGTGCTCCTGGAGAGAATTTGGGACTTCTCTTACAGACTTTCCAGATAAGAAATGTGCACTTTCTAGAAAGAATGAGCATCTATTTCATCAAAACGTGTTTTCAAGTAGCATGAGAGAGCGAGCTATTCGAACCCGTGGCTTCTTTATCTGGAATGTGGGTTGGGAGGGATTCATAATAAGAGCTGTCTTCTCTGTGATCTGGACATTGCCAAGGTGGCTTAATAATGTAATGGCAAAAAATAGAAATTAGGGAGATTTCTCACAGACACTGCCTTCTGGGGTTCTCATCTGGAAGAGAACTGGCACAATATATCCTTCCACCAGGGATGCACATACGGGTTTTCTTTCTCATGTGCTGAGAAAAAATTGGGGACAGCCATCTAAATGCTGAGCCTGTACAATGCCAATTAAAAAGCTATTTGGAAACTTCCAGAAGATCGCCTGTCTCGAATTTCATCTCAATATTGGACTTTGTGTTGACATCCCCTCTATGAAGTAGGAGGTATAGCACATGGCGTGTAAGTGCCGCAGGGAGTGACGTTTAGCAGAATGAAGAGAAACCTGAGACCCTGTGGCATTGCTCAGGGAGGGTGTATCAGCTGTCTGGGGACGTTTTCACCCAAATACTATTTCCAGTCCGGCTGGGTTGGGTTTCATTTATCTTCTGTCCAGAAGCTTATGTATTGGTTCAGTGTCTCTTCATCCTCAACATCACAATCCAATTGCTTGACACTTTCTCTAACGAAAGAGATAACTTTTAGGAGTGTAGTTGAAATTTGCATTTAAAAATTTTCATTTCTGCTTGTATCAGAAATTGACCAATTCTTTGGGAATAGCGGGAATAGCTATATTGAGGTTTTCTTCCCTTAAGTCACCTTTCCATTTAGCCTGGCCCTTACCTAGCTGAAGAGTGTGGTTGGCCCCCTTCATCGGGCTCCTAATGACCACATGTCCACACGAGAGAATTTCTTACTCCCACTGACTTTTCAAGTCACTGCGCTCAAGTTGAGAATGTATAGATGGGGGTGATTTAAGAACATTTAAAGAAGAGTCCATGCCAAAAGCTAAAAGCAGAAGTAGGGCTTGTGCCCCTGGAGGAACGGACAGGAAGCAGGGCAGCCTGGTTCTGGGGTGGTGGTGAAAGTAGTCTTTTGGGATGGAGGGGGCCACACCCAAGGCCCTGGCACTTATTCCTTCTGTGGAGTATGCCAGGGCCACGGGTCGGTGGTTCTTAGGCCTAGTTTAAGAACTTAAAGAGAATGAACTATGTCTGGAACCTTAAATCAACTGTCATGGCTGTTTGGCTCCAGTTTGTATCAGTGGAATCATTTTTGGCTTCTTACCTTGGCTCGCTCCCAGGACTGGCTTAACACAATAGTTAGCCAGCTCTATAAATTCCAGTTACCTTAATAGTCTTCACAACTCCCTCAGGGGGAAATCACAGGCTCCGAGTAATCGACACATCTGTGAAGCACTTAAGTCCTAATGATTGCCGTTTATATTTAAGGATGGGTACTTTTCAAGTTTCCTAGTCTCAACAGCACTTCCTTGGTAATATAGCAGTTCAGTGAGACACACATATAATACCTTTTAAGCACCAAGAGTTTGTTAGCCTTCAACCACTAGGTACCTAAACATACTAAGCACATAAAGTAGGAAAGTTAAATTTTTTTGTTTTGTTCTGTTTTATTTGCTTTCAGAGAGAGGAAGGGAGAGGGAGAGGGAGAAAAACATCAATGATGAGAGAGTCATTGATCGGCTGCCTCCTGCACGCCGCTTACTGAGGATCAAGCTTCTCATTTTCAATTCATTGTTACCCATGCTGGATCCATGATACCTCGTGAATCTGTATTTACCTTAATACCTTTTTATAAGCATTTTAAAATGTAGAATGAAATTTTTTTTCTAAAGCAAGATCTGTCTTAGGCTGCACCCAAGGGGCTACAGTGCAAACCCAGTCAGCATGTAACTGGTTCTTATGATGGACTTTGCAAAGCACAGGGGATGTAAAGGAAGCGTAATGTTTGGATACTGCCTGTAAGACACGTCAGGTGGAGAAGCAAAGGCCAACTTAGGTGACATAGTTAGAAAACAGTCTAAAACTAAAGTTCAGAACTCTTGGATTGTAGGCCAAACTAGTTTATTCCATCTTCCAGGAGGCTTCATGGAGGAGGCAGATGTAAGAGATGAGCGGAATGGAACTGGACAGAAAAAAGAAACATTTCTGGAGCCTCTTGCATGCCCCACTCTTTGACAGTAGCTCCACCTGCATAAGCTCATTGATCCTGCAGAGTAGACGTTTATATCCCTCTGTGAATATGAGACTATTAAGGATTGGAGAGACTAAGTCGCTTGCTCAGGTTTTTACAACTAGCAAGTTGCCATTGGGTAGTTAGGACTCCTGGCTCTGAATTCCAAGCAGTTTTGAATTTGAATCCTACCTCTTCTACTCACTAGCTGTGATTCATTTTTTTTGTGATTCAGTGTTTTCACATGGAAACTGGGGGAAATCATAATAGCTACCTCACAGGTTTAGTGTGATGAAGAAACTACTTAATGAGACATAGAACTTAACATACTTTCTGAGATATTGTAGCAACTCAATAAGTGTCTTATATTTATGTACAGAAAACGAGAATTCGACTGAGATTCACACCTAAATTTTGTCTGACTCCAAAGTCTTGCTCCTTTATAGTGTGTTACCCTGTGGAGAGTGCAGGTAGAAAATTCCAGACACAGTAAGAACAGACGTTTTGTCTGCTAAAGGAAGGTGTAGTCTTCATGCCTGAAGGAGGGGTGGGTTGGTGACATAATGAAAAAGTGATTTGATAAATCGGGGAAGTTAATTATCCCGGCCTTAGAAGCTAGACAGAGGGCCTGAGGGTAGATGGCCCAGGGACCTGCAAGCCAGCTAGCTCGTGGGTGGGAAAGGGACGACCGGAGTGTTGCTCTAAGCACGCATGGGATGAGGGTGGGTACAGAAGTCAACCTGGAGGCCACCCGCGAAGGGTGACTGCTGTGGTCCTGCGCTGGGGGGAGAAACGAAAGGCCAAAGAAAGGACGCAAGGGGGATGCTGGTGCTGGAGCTGGAGCTGGAGCTGGTGCTGGTGCTGGAGCTGGAGCTGGTGCTGGAGCTGGTGCTGGAGCTGGAGCTGGTGCTGGAGCTGGAGCTGGAGCTGGTGCTGGTGCTGGTGCTGGAGCTGGTGCTGGTGCTGGTGCTGGAGCTGGAGCTGGTGCTGGTGCTGGAGCTGGAGCTGGAGCTGGTGCTGGTGCTGGAGCTGGAGCTGGAGCTGGTGCTGGTGCTGGAGCTGGAGCTGGTGCTGGTGCTGGAGCTGGAGCTGGTGCTGGTGCTGGAGCTGGAGCTGGTGCTGGAGCTGGTGCTGGAGCTGGAGCTGGTGCTGGTGCTGGTGCTGGTGCTGGAGCTGGAGCTGGTGCTGGTGCTGGAGCTGGAGCTGGAGCTGGTGCTGCCCTCGCCGCCGGCAGACCCTGCCCATCACTGATGCCTCAGCTCCCCGCTTTCTCCACCGTAGACCTTAAACTACCAACGCTTCAGTCAACTTTATTTTTACGTTTATTTTATTTTTTTCCTTTTCATTGAATTTATTGGGGCGACACTAGTTAGCAAAATTGTACAGGTTTCAGGCGCACAGTCCTTCGACAGAGCATCTGTACACTGTACTGTGTGCTCGCCACCCCAAGTCAGGTCTCCGGCCATCGCCACACTTGTCCGGGTCCATGAGTTTCTTCTCTTTTTACACTCAACTTTAAGTTAACTAAGAAATGATTGTCTTCATGAAAAGAAGATCTCAATAATATTTTATTCTAGATAAGTCACTAAATAAAATGAGTGAGAAAATACAGTGTACCAGAGAGTCCCTTATGACATAATATTTTGGCTTAAGCAAGCCTTACCTACTGTTTTAATGCCTACCTACAATTTACTAAAGATTTAGTAAACTGACTACTCAGAAGACTTGACGTTTCTGGTTTTATATGCCATTTCCCCTCATTTTTTTACATCTTCACCTGATAACATATGTCTGGTTTGAATACAATCATACCCAACCTCCTTTCTTTGCAATACAGATGGGTGGTTATACCTCACGGGCCCTCTAGTTACCTACAAAGGTTAATGTCTGGAGATAAAAAAGTGGCCTGTACTGGCTGGATGGCCCCTGAGCTAATCCTTTGGTTATTAAACTAAAAGCTATCATCTATAGGTATTGCTAACTCATCAAAGGAGCCTGAGTCTGGCAAATTATTAACAGTTATTGTATATTCAACCAGCCGCTGGAATAAAGGAATTGTAATAATAATAGTAAGAGTTCTAGCAAGTTAGGGACGAGTGTATCGGGACGATTAAGAATATGTGATTGGAACTAGATAGTCACAAACTTGTTGGAACCCGAAACCTCTAGTTGGCTTGTTCGTGTGCCCCACTCTGTTTGTTTTTCCACCGAGTTTGTTTTGCTCTGTTGGGTGTTGGGGTTGAGTCCTGACCGCACCCTCACTCACTAAGTACACTTAGCATATTACTTTACCCTCTTGGACCCCCACTCAGCTCCCTCCCTTGGTTGCTGCAAGAGCTAGATTGGATAATATTTGTATCAGACAGTATCTGGTACTTGTAAAATGCCCAGGAAATGTTAGTACCTTATAGTTTATGGAAAAAAACTTGCTCACATATTTATTTTATTTGAACCTGTCAGTCCTGTGAAGTACGTAGGGAAGGTGTTATTCTCATCTGACATTA